CCTTCTCATTGATATCAAAGGTATCACCATCCTTTACACAAGAAGAAAAACCAATACTTGGAAGAAAAACTCATCATCCAAAAAAAAATGATGAAGTTTTCTTCTCTTCTTGTGTTTTTCTTTATTTTCCCCATCGCATTTGCTCAACTGAGAGTCGGGTTTTATAGCCAGTCTTGCCCTCAAGCAGAGACTATCGTACGCAATCTGGTGCGCCAACGGTTTGGTGCTGACCCAACCGTCACTGCTGCTTTGCTCCGTATGCATTTCCATGATTGTTTCGTTAAGGTAATAACCTAATCATGTAACATTTTGATATGGCTCAAACATTTTCAAAACACTCAATGTCAACTCGTGTTTTAAAAAAAATCTTACGTTCTTTATTTCACTTATTTAGGAACATATGGGGGAAAATAACATATTAGTACACGAATTTCGTATAATTTAATTTGTCGGCTAATCTGATCTTAACCCTTTTCTTTCCCTGTTTCGTAGGGTTGCGATGCTTCTCTCCTCATTGACTCAACCACCTCCGAGAAAACCGCTGGACCAAACGGAAGCGTCAGAGAATTTGACCTTATCGACCGGATCAAGGCTCAGCTAGAGACTGCGTGTCCTTCCACGGTCTCATGCGCGGACATCGTCACATTAGCCACGCGTGACTCGGTTGCTTTAGCTGGAGGCCCGAGCTACAGCATCCCCACGGGAAGGCGCGATGGTTTGGTTTCGAACCGTGCTGATGTGGGACTACCGGGTCCAACAATCTCTGTCTCTGGAGCCGTCAGTTTCTTCACGAACAAAGGGTTGAACGCATTCGATGCTGTGGCTCTTTTGGGTGCACACACGGTTGGTGTCGGAAACTGCGGTCTGTTCAATGACCGGATCACAAGTTTCCAAGGAACCGGACGACCTGACCCGTCCATGGACCCCGCTTTGGTTTCTAGGTAAGTTTTAGCCTCTCTGGTTCAATCATACACCCACCAGATTAATAATTGAAGTTACAAAAAAGTAAAATTATAAAAGAATGAGCAAAACTCTAAGAAAAGCCTTAATTTTTTTAAAAGATGACATTTCTATGTATTACAAGCACATTATTTAAAGAAAACAGCTAGATTGCAAGAAGTTGGATTTCTGTAAACCTTTTTTCCTTCTAAGAAAGTTCGAAAATACAATTGATCCATGAAAACCTAAGCACATTCAATAAGAAATTTATTATTCAATTAAACTCTTAAAAATAATATTTTAAATCGTTTTTTTTCTTCTTGTAATATAGGCTAAGGAACACCTGCGCAAACAGTGCGTCCGCGGCACTAGACCAGTCGACTCCATTGAGGTTCGACAACCAGTTCTTCAAGCAGATTCGTAAAAAGAGAGGAGTGTTGCAGGTTGACCAACGGCTCGCGACAGACCGACTTACTCGTGGTATTGTGGCTCGGTATGCCAATAACAATGCATTCTTCAAGCGTCAGTTCGTTAGAGCAATGGTGAAGATGGGAGCCGTTGATGTTCTTACTGGTCGTGCCGGTCAGATCAGGAGAAACTGCAGGAGATTCAACTAATGAGCATGGTAAATTACCATTAAACGTGGAGAAAATATTAAATTTGAAACATATATGGTTTCAAGTCTTCTTTATGTTGTCTAATTCATTTTTTTGTTTTGCTGGGGTTTTTGTTGCTTAAATAAGGTTTTTCTTGTTTTGACCAAAAAAAAAAGGTTTTTCTTGAATCGGATTTATACTTTCGATTGTTGAGAAAAATAACTATGTTAATGTTGGTCTTCATTGAAGTATGTATCTTATACGATTATTTTCTGGTATTGACAATATTGATCTTGTATCTTTGTCATGGTTAATTATATATAAAAAGAAATATTTCTATATTTCTGTTATTCGTTCTCCCATATAATTCATATAAAAATAGTAGTACCATCATCGTCTCGAATTAAAAAAAAAACGAGAGTAAAAAAATTATTTATT